AGTGTGGCGGCATAGGGCGGTGCAATCAATGAGTACATGATACAGTATGTGGCGGTGGGGTACCACTTGATGATGAAATTAATACTTCGAAACAACACATATTATGGTTTTTATAATGTAAATTATAATGTATTGGTATTTATATGTACAAGTATCATCAATACAATTGATCATCAATACAACTGAGACAGTGTCACAATGCCTAACTTGATTCAACTGTGCTACGTAAGTGTAGTACGAAGCTAACTTTAAGCATCAGTTGTCAGAGCACCTTACCGATCACTGCACCTGTACACAGCCCATCTGAAATTAGCCCACCCAACTACCTCATCCCTATATTGTTATTTATTTTGCTCTTTTGCACCCCAGTATCTCTATTTGCACATAATCTCTTGCACATCTAGCATTCCAGTGTTAATACTAATTGTAATTATTTTGCACTATAGCCTATTTATTGCCTTACCTCCATAACTTGCTACATTTGCACACACTGTATGTATATTTTCTGTTGTATTTTTTGACTTTATGTTTTTTTACCCCATATGTAACTCTGTGTTGTTGTTTTTATCACACTGCTTTGCTTTATCTTGGCCAGGTCACAGTTGTAAATGAGAACTTGTTCTCAACTGGCTTACCTGGTTAAATAAAGGTGAAAAAAATAAAATTTTAAAATTTTAAAAACATGCAGATCATGTTGCAACAGTGTGCACAAACTTGTCCTGGGAAACGATTGGAGGAGTGGTTTGATGTGAAATAATGTAGGCCAGCCAGGCCTAAAGACTGAAATGTCTGACAGACATGTGCCAACAAATTACATGTTGTTTAACCCTCTACTGCACACATTTTTGGAAGATTCAGGCTTTCTGATAATGTATCAATAATAATAAAAACAAAAAACTACCCCCGACACACAGATTTGTTTTTGAGGCAAAGGGGTACTAAAACACTAAGGAAAATCTGATATTTTCTGAACATTTATTGAGTGAAATATAATAGAAACAAGGACTATTTTCTTAAGAGTATTTGGCATAAACTAGTATTTCACTACATCTCATTCTGGGGGTCCATTCTTCCTCTCTGTCACTGTCCTCAAGCTCACTGTCCTCACTATCAGAGGCTATGATCCTAACTGCTCGATTAGGCTCCTTTTGCCCATAGAATGTCCCTGTGCCCATTGCCTGTGAATGTCAGTGGATATGTTGGCAAAAACATTGACCAAGGCCAGAATTTTACATAAAATGACATGTCTTTCATTGAGCATGATATTGCCCTGAAAAGTAACCTAACTGCACAACGTTGCCCTTTCATGAGATGAAATAAAAATCCCAGAAATGTTCCATGAGCACAAAAAAATTATTTATCTTAAATGTTGTGCACAAATGTGTTTACCTCCCTGTTAGTGAGCATTTCTCCTTTGCCAAGATAATCCATCCACCTGACAGGTGTGGCATATCAAGAAGCTGATTAAACAACATGATCATTACACAGGTGCACCTTGTGCTGGGGACAATAAAAGGCCACTTTAAAATGTGCAGTTTTGGCACACATACCTATGTAAATGTGATATGTCCGTTTTTTTTGCAAAAATTTCTAAAAACCTGTTTTTGCTTTGTCTTTATGGGGTATTGTGTGTAGATTGATGAGGAAAACATTTAATTTAATCCATTTTAGAATAAGGCTGTAATGTAACAAAATGTGGAAAAGGGGAAGGGGTCTGAATACTTTCCGAATGTAGAGTACATAGACAAAGACATATTACAGAAGTACATATTTTCTTATTGTCAAGTTCTTTATTTAAACATAATGAAATGTATCTTACCCTTCGCGCACATCATGAGCTCACATCGCTCTGCTTCCTGAAATAAGTTACCTCCCCCAATTGATACATCATACAGTGGGGAAAAAAAGTATTTAGTCAGCCACCAATTGTGCAAGTTCTCCCACTTAAAAAGATGAGAGAGGCCTGTAATTTTCATCATAGGTACACGTCAACTATGACAGACAAATTGAGATTTATTTTCTCCAGAAAATCACATTGTAGGATTTTTTATGAATTTATTTGCAAATTATGGTGGACAATAAGTATTTGGTCAATAACAAAAGTTTCTCAATACTTTGTTATATACCCTTTGTTGGCAATGACACAGGTCAAACGTTTTCTGTAAGTCTTCACAAGGTTTTCACACACTGTTGCTGGTATTTTGGCCCATTCCTCCATGCAGAGCTCCTCTAGAGCAGTGATGTTTTGGGGCTGTCGCTGGGCAACACGGACTTTCAACTCCCTCCAAAGATTTTCTATGGGGTTGAGATCTGGAGACTGGCTAGCCCACTCCAGGACCTTGAAATGCTTCTTACGAAGCCACTCCTTCGTTGCCCGGGCGGTGTGTTTGGGATCATTGTCATGCTGAAAAACCCAGCCACGTTTCATCTTCAATGCCCTTGCTGATGGAAGGAGGTTTTCACTCAAAATCTCACGATACATGGCCCCATTCATTCTTTCCTTTACACGGATCAGTCGTCCTGGTCCCTTTGCATAAAAACAGCCCAAAGCATGATGTTTCCACCCCCATGCTTCACAGTAGGTATGGTGTTCTTTGGATGCAACTCAGCATTCTTTGTCCTCCAAACACGACGAGTTGAGTTTTTACCAAAAAGTTATATTTTGGTTTCATCTGACCATATGACATTCTCCCAATCCTCTTCTGGATCATCCAAATGCACTCTAGCAAACTTCAGACGGGCCTGGACATGTACTGGCTTAAGCAGGGGGACACGTCTGGCACTGCAGGATTTGAGTCCCTGGCGGCGTAGTGTGTTACTGATGGTAGGCTTTGTTACTTTGGTCCCAGCTCTCTGCAGGTCATTCACTAGGTCCCCCCGTGTGGTTCTGGGATTTTTGCTCACTGTTCTTGTGATCATTTTGACCCCACGGGGTGAGATCTTGCGTGGAGCCACAGATCGAGGGAGATTATCAGTGGTCTTGTATGTCTTCCATTTCCTAATAATTGCTCCCACAGTTGATTTCTTCAAACCAAGCTGCTTACCTATTGCAGATTCAGTCTTCCCAGCCTGGTGCAGGTCTACAATTTTGTTTCTGGTGTCCTTTGACAGCTCTTTGGTCTTGGCCATAGTGGAGTTTGGAGTGTGACTGTTTGAGGTTGTGGACAGGTGTCTTTTATACTGATAACAAGTTCAAACAGTTGCCATTAATACAGGTAACGAGTGGAGGACAGAGGAGTCTCTTAAAGAAGAAGTTACAGGTCTGTGAGAGCCAGAAATCTTGCTTGTTTGTAGGTGACCAAATAATTATTTTCCACCATAATTTGCAAATAAATTCATTAAAAATCCTACAATGTGATTTTCTGGAAAAAAAATTCTCAATTTGTCTGTCATAGTTGACGTGTACCTATGATGAAAATTACAGGCCTCTCTCATCTTTTTAAGTGGGAGAACTTGCACAATTGGTGGCTGACTAAATACTTTTTTTCCCCACTGCACCAACTTCTGCACCTCATTGGATTGTTTACAGACATGACAAGAATTTATGTGTGAGGGGCAAAAATGTTTTCTGTTGCCTTAGGGTTTAGTTTGGTGGATGAAATATTTGCTTGCTATTCAAACAAACACGCAATCCGATTTACATGGAATGGAAAACAGTTTATGGCCTAGATATTTTTTTAAAATACACTCAACAGAAACAGAAATTAGCCTGTTTGAATAGTCCTCTTAATATTAGCCTACGAGTATTTCAACTGAATATTGGTCAGAGAATAATACTGAAAAGGGTACAAGCAAGGTAGAGGAATTTGTATGTTTTGTAGATGAGTTAGGTCAAAGAAAAGTGTAGCATTCCGAGACTGAAGTAAGGTTGTATGGATCATTTGCCATTTATTGAGAAAACAATGTCCCTATCACATATGTAACATCTATATCATCTTCAATATATCCATACATACTTTTTTTTAAATCATACAGTAAGACTATGATAAAACATTTAAAAAAATTGACCCACTAACCAGGTTTCCAGCCAACCTTTTTATGCAAGTGAAGTACATCTCACAACAGGCCTAATGGAAACAGCAAATTTGTCGACAAAACTAAATTCGCTAGACAATGTGGGATCTTTTTGTAAGTAAAAGCCATTATGCGCTAAATACTGATATAATAACCATCATATTAAAGTAAACAGGAAGTCACACGATGACATGTTGTGTGGTCCTCCAACTACGACTCACTTGGGAAAGCATGCAGTTTAGGCTACAGACGAAATAAGATACGATGAACTTCACAGGGTGGTGAAAGTGTACGGTGATGAGCTTGATGCTCCTTTCCAATAAATATCGAGGGTCTTATTCCTGGTGACATGATGATCGATGCTTGGCTGCCGCTTGACAAATAAAAATAGTCTTGCTCCTGTCCATAATAATCTCATCATGTAGGTAGATTATACCCACACTGTATCTGCCAGCTGTTGGCTAGAGCGCACATGCCAAGACCAGAGTAGGGCACATTTGCTCAATAACGCAACATCTTTTGTGACAAAACCATCAGAAGAGTTGAAAACACGATGGAAACCCATTTAACTTGTATTTTTATTCAGTACATGGTCATTTAACCGCAAAAGTAATTTTTATGTGCAATATGTCATCACAGCCTTTAGTCAATTTGATGGAAACACATCTCTGGCGGGAAAATGCACATATTGTTTTTATGCAGATTTTAGAATATTCGCATGAAAATCTGTCGCCAGATCGGAAACCTAGCTATAGAGACAAAGAATTCACTCACTGATGGGTGGGGTTGAATAAAAAAACGTTGGATTGCTGAAACACTGACTGATCAGAAATTAGGCCAAAAGAGACAGACAGCACAACACTGCACAATTCTAAATTCCACCACAAGTCTATACCGGGATTGTTTTAGGGGCAACATGGTGTATAAGGCATACTGCTGTTTGCTGATTTGTGGTAGCAGTGTTTTCTGATATCACAAGCATGCAATCATGGAGATATTGTCAGTGTGTTTCGCCTCTTGGAGTCCCGTCGTGGAAATGGCACAAAGCTCTTCACCTCTTTGAATGATAACCCTAGGAGGTAAAGGGAAAGACAATAAATATCTACACAATATTACTAAAAAGGTTTGCAGGTAAACAACCAGAATAGCTTTATAATTAATCACATTATGTTACAGTGTGACATGGACATAAAAGTGATAAATATACATCTGAAATCTGAATACAAAACCTGATCAAATTCAACATCTACAAGAAAGATTACAAAACACTGAGACTTTGCACTTACGCCTCCAGTCCTCCAGAGGCAGCGTGGCATTGTCATGACTGTCATCATATGGCTGGGACTCAGGACTGTCCTCTGGGTCTCTCAAGCCATCAAAATACGGGTGTGCCAGAGCACTCTCAGCAGTGGGCCGAGTTTCACCATCCAGAACCAGCATCTTCTCAAGAAGGTCAATAGCTGTGAGAGCAGTTGAATAGAGAATGAAAGCCAGAAACATGCAACAGTTTGGAGAACTTATTTACCACACAGAGACGTAAACTCAGGACCCTGTCTTTCAAAGATAATTCGTAAAAATCCAAATAACTTCACAGATCTTAATTGTAAAGGGTTTAAACACTCTTTCCCATGCTTGTTCAATGAACCATAAACATTAATGAACATGCACCTGTGGAACGGTCGTTAAGACACTAACAGCTTACAGACGGTAGGACAATTAAGGTCACAGTTATGAAAACTTAGGACACTAAAGAGGCCTTTCTACTGACTCTGAAAAACACCAAAAGAAAGATGCCCAGGGTCCCTGCTCATCTGCGTGAACGTGCCTTAGGCATGCTGCAAGGAGGCATGAGGACTGCAGAAATGGCCAGGGCAATAAATTGCATGAGACGCCTAAGACAGCACTACAGGGAGACAGGATGGACAGCTGATCGTCCTCGCAGTGGCAGACCACGTGTAACAACACCTGCACAGGATCGGTACATCCGAACATCACACCTGCGGGACAGGTACAGGATAGCAACAACAACTGCCCGAGTTACACCAGGAATGAACAATCCCTCCATCAGTGCTCAGACTGTCCGCAATAGGCTGAGAGAGGCTGGACTGAGGGCTTGTAGGCCTGTTGTAAGGCAGGTCCTCACCAGACATCACCGGCAACAACGTCGCCTATGGGCACAAACCCACCGTCGCTGGACCAGACAGGACTGGCAAAAAGTGCTCTTCACTGACGAGTCGCGGTTTTGTCTCACCAGGGGTGATGGTCGGATTCGCGTTTATCGTCGAAGGAATGAGCGTTACACCGAGGCCTGTACTCTGGAGCGGGATCGATTTGGAGGTGGAGGTCCGTCATGGTCTGGGGCGGTGTGTCACAGCATCATCGGACTGATCTTGTTGTCATTGCAGGCAATCTCAACGTTTTGCGTTACAGGGAAGACATCCTCCTCCCTCATATGGTACCCTTCCTGCAGGCTCATCCTGACATGACCCTCCAGCATGACAATGCCACCAGCCATACTGCTCGTTCTGTGCGTGATTTCCTGCAAGACAGGAATGTCAGTGTTCTGCCATGGCCAGCGAAGAGCCCGGATCTCAATCCCATTGAGCACATCTGGGACCATTTGGATCAGAGGGTGAGGGCTAGGGCCATTCCCCCCAGAAATGTCAGGGAACTTGCATGTGCCTTGGTGGAAGAGTGGGGTAACATCTCACAGCAAGAACTGGCAAATCTGGTGCAGTCCATGAGGAGGAGATGCACTGCAGTACTTAATGCAGCTGGTGGCCACACCAGATACTGACTGTTACTTTTGATTTTGACCCCCCCTTTGTTCAGGGACACATTATTCCATTTCTGTTAGTCACATGTCTGTGGAACTTGTTCAGTTTATGTCTCAGTTGTTGAATCTTGTTATGTTCATACAAATATTTACACATGTTAAGTTTGCTGAAAATAAACGCAGTTGACAGTGAGAAGACGTTTCTTTTTTTGCTGAGTTTATATGAAAAATGTATGAAAACGCATTCGCATTCATCAATTGTCAATTTTTGTCTGTCGATAGTTCAACGAATCAAAACGTTTCATGTACGAGTTGCATCCGTACAAAGCCGGACATATTGTGCAATCATATCAGTTGGCCATCTGTCAACAGATGTCTCCCATTGGAAAACCATTAGCTCCAACTGTAATTTTCCAACAACATCTCTGTGTGGCCGTATAGCAATCAAACTCATGTATACGGATACTGAATTTATGACGAATATACAAAATTGTACATTTAAGTCTCAATCACAGCATTTCTTATGTGTAATAATAACTAATGTATGTGCTTAGCATCGTCAAATCAATAGCATTTAAACTCACCCTGTGCACTGGCTCTGGGGAACAACTTCGAGAAGTTTTTTCGGGGAAAGTGAGGGAGGGACCGCACATAGCTTTTCGCCTATCAGATGACAGTAACAAGAGAGAGAAAAATAATAATAACTTGGTCATGGACCCTGACTGAGGAGTTTATGGTGCATATTCAAAATCAAAACATGGGGAATTATGCACAACTGACAAAACAATATACAATTCAAAATATTAAGTATACTATCCAGTGTTGCCTAGGTGCCAACTCTACCTCTTGACTGTCCAGCTTCTGAATGAAGTCAGGTCCGGGTACTCCTGTTACTTTCATGATCTGAGTCAGCTGATCCATGTCTGCGAGTCAAGGGTTAAAGTCAAGGTCAAAAGAGAACCATCGCGCTCTCCCAGAAGCTTGGCTGGTGCATAAAACCCACGAATTCAGACAAACAAAGAGGTGTAATGGGTTCGCACTCAAAAACATGTCGCATAAAGCTCACTTCATTATTCAATGTTTTTATTTATTTTACTGCATCAGGGATAGCGTACACAGATGTTTCGGCGTTACAACCTTCTTCAGTGTGTATGTTGAATTTTCTTTAATTCAAAACAGCATTTGTAAAGAACAGATGAGCAGCAGGTATACAAATTAGTCACAAAGAGATACAGAATTATAGGGTATGGGAGCGGGCACGAAGGGCAACTCACAAAACAATCGCCCCAGGTGTCCGCTCACCTAAAAACATCACTTCAATCCATGAGATAGCCCACCACAAAGGACATCAGGCAAAGCCGTTCATAAATATGTGGGGCCAACTCATAAAGGATATGCCAAATCTGATATGGACAGTGTTCTTGTATAACAGTTTAAATGTGGTTTATAGGAAGGAGGTGAAATCTAATTCTTCGTTTAAACTATGTGGAGATACAGAATGTAATTTATATACATGTATCCACATGGCTTCTCTTTGGAGTAATTTGTTGTCAGTCACCTCCTCTATGTGGTAGATTAACTTTTTTTCAATCTCTACGCAATGCAATTCATTAATAGAATGATTTTGTTCTGTAAAGTGTCTGGCAACTGGAAAGGTGATATCTTGACGATAAAATAGTGGATTCATGTTCTCCAAGACGTACTTTCAAGGCGCGGCATGATTTTCCAATATAAGACAACTGTAACATATACAGTGGCTTGCGAAAGTATTCACCCCCCTGCAATTAAAATTGATTTTTTGGGGGTTTGTATCATTTGAATTACGCAACATGCCTACCACTTTGAAGATGCAAAATATTTTTGGGGGTGAAACAAACAAGAAATAAGACAAAAAAACTGAAATCTTGAGCGTGCATAACTATTCACCCCCCCAAAGTCAATACTTTGTAGAGCCACCTTTTGCAGCAATTACAGCTGCAAGTCTCTTGGGGTATGTCTCTATAAGCTTGGCACATCTAGCCACTGGGATTTTTGCCCATTCTTCAAGGCAAAACTGCTCCAGATCCTTCAAGTTGGATGGGTTCTGCTGGTGTACAGCAATCTTTAAGTCATACCAGAGATTCTCAATTGGATTAAGGTCTGGGCTTTGACTAGGCCATTCCAAGAAATGTAAAGGTTTCCCCTTAAACCACTCGAGTGTTGCTTTAGCAGTATGCTTAGGGTCATTGTCCTGCTGGAAGGTGAACCTCCATCCCAGTCTCAAATCTCTGGAAGACAAACAGGTTTCCCTCAAGAATTTCCCTGTATTTAGCGCCAGCCATCATTCCTTAAATTCTGACCAGTTTCCCCCTCCCTGCCGATGAAAAACATGGTGTTCTCGGGATGATGAGAGGTGTTGGGTTTGCGCCAGACATAGCGTTTTTGTCTCATCTGACCAGAGTACAGTCTCATCTCCCACATCCATTTTGACGAACACCAAATGTGTTTGCTTATTTTTTTCATTAAGCAATGGCTTTTTTCTGGCCACTCTTCCGTAAAGCCCAGCTCTGTGGAGTATACGCCTTAAAGTGGTCCTATGGACATATACTCCAATCAGGGTTATCTTTGGTCTCTTTGTTGCCTCTGATTAATGCCTGGTCTGTGAGTTTTGGTGGGAGGCCCTCTCTTGGCAGGTTTGTTGTGGTGCCATATTCTTTCCATTTTTTTATAATGGATTTAATGGTGCTCCATGGGATGTTCAAAGTTCCTGATATTTTTTTATAACCCAACCCTGATCTGTACTTCTCCACAACTTTGTCCCTGACCTGTTTGGAGAGCTCCTTGGTCTTCATGGTGCCGCATGCTTGGTGGTACCCCTTGCTTAGTGGTGTTGCAGACTCTGGGGCCTTTCAGAACAGGTGTACATATGCTGAGATCATGTGACAGATCATGTGACACTTAGATTGCACACAGGTGGACTTTATTTAACTAATTATGCAACTTCTGAAGGTAATTGGTTGCACCAGATCTTATTTAGGGGCTTCATAGCAAAGGGGGTGAATACATATGCATGCACCACTTTTCCGTTATTTATTTTTTAGAATTTTCTTCATTTCACTTGACCAATATGGAATATTTTGTGTATGTCCATTACATTAAATCCAAATAAAAATCCATTTAAATTACAGGTTGTAATGCAACAAAATAGAAAAAACACCAAGGAAGATGAATACTTTTGCAAGGCACTGTAAATAACTCCTTCAGTAGTGCAAGTTATCCTTTAGTAGTGCAAGTTATACATGACATTATCTCATAGGTCCTAGAAGTCTGAGGGCATACAAAGTTAGACCATTTCCTTATGGTGCTACAAGAGGTACAAGATCTACAGGGGAAGTGTCCTTTTATGAATGCCTCTTTTCTCTCTCTGAACACATCTGATTTAACCAATATGTTTGATAGATTTCTTGATCGTTTATAGGTGAATAAAGGTGGATTCTGGAAAGCAGAATTTAAAGAGGAGTCTGATGATAATATGTGCCAATGATGTTTATTGACAATAGACTTAATGCCATTACGGCTATCATTGAAAGTAAGTATATAGTTTACAGAAACTGTTTCTTCTGTTTTGTTGGGATTTATTAAGTAACTGGCCAGGTATCGGTGTATCCTCTCAAGCGAAAATGCTCAAGGAGAGAATTTGATTGTCTATCATATTCTTCCTCTATGTCACAGATGCGACGCAGTCTATGAAGTTGGCTTAGTGGTAAACCTCTTTTTAATGGGCGAGGGTGATAACTATTAGCTGTCAATATAGTATTTTTTTCTGTAGGTTTTCTGTAAACTTTAGTACTTAGAGATTGTCCCTTCTTTGTAACAAGTACATCTAAGAAATGTATAAAGTTAATCTTATTTTTCATAGTGAAGGAAATTGATTGTACTCTAGAGTTAATGTAGCTAAGAAATTAATTTAATTTAATTTCGGAACCCGTCCAGAACATAAAGCAATCATCTTTGTGTATTTAACATGATTTTTGTAAGGATAATTTTCATAAATAAAAATCAAAATTCGAATTTCCCCATAAAGGGATTTGCAGAGTTGGGAGCTAATGGAGTTCGCATTGTGTCACGAATTCCGCCGAGACTGCTCCTCCTCCTTGTTCGGGCAAGGCTTCGGGTTTGTCGTCCCCGGCCGTACTGGCTACATACCCCGCTTGATTGATTGTCCCGATGTTTGTTTTGGTCTTGTCTTGTTAGTGCACCTGTTTTTCATGGTTTATGTATTTGATTAGGTCACCTATAAGTTTCCTTTAGTTTTTTAGTTTGCAGGTTGGTGTGGATTTGTACCGGCCTGTCCGCCTTGGTGTCCTCTTGTACGTTCTTATTGTGGAACGAGTATTTTTACGCACTGTGTTGCTATCGTTTTGCCTCCTGCATGTTTTCGAGGCTTGATTTGTTCTCTATTCAGTCTGAGGGTAAAGTCGTTGGCCTGCTCTACATGCACTAGACACTGGTCTGTACACCCTCCTGCATTTCACTGTCGCTAGTGGTGCACAGTTGTGGACCCCACAGAGGTTAGATGATTTCAGGTCATTCTGACCAAGTCGTTAAGAATTGTCGTAAAGCTGGCCGGTTCTCTCCTTTCAATGTGCCACACGGTGACAAATACGGGAGCGCCGTAGAAAAAAAATGTTAGGCCTCGAATTAGGATCAGTAAGTATCATGCCACCAGACGAACATTTTACGGTGGGCGGCGCCCCAAAGTAACCGACCAGGTATCAGGTCTCCACTCGCCCACCTGATCCCTCAGGTGTGCGTCTTTCGCGCCACGGTCCGGCCTGTTCCCGCCACCGCCACCAAACAGGTGTGCCACCAACTGCCGACCAGCACGTTCCTCTTCCTCGCACCAGCAGGCGACGCAGGGTGCTATGAAGTGCCGTCGCCACCGGTCCGGCCTCGTTCTTCCACCACCAAACCTACGGGGCGGTCGTCAGCCCGTCCGGCTGTTCCTGCCTCCGCACCACCAGGTTTTCGCGCGACCAGCCCATTCCGTCCTTCCTGTCTCCACGACACCAAGTCACATCTAAGAAAATGGGTTCGTAGTCGGTCGTCATTGGCTCGGCTCTCTTCGGCGGTCCGGCCAGCGGGGCTAGACAGGACCAGGGGTACTTTGGGGGGTGTATCGGAGGGTGGTGGTCAAGGCCGGGCAGAAGCCACCGGGAGGTGCCGCAGCCCTCCCTTGGGGTTTGAGGCGCGGTTCTGTTTGGGGGGGTACTGTAGCTTGGGATATTATGAGCCAGGGTGTGTCATGTTAGTTGTATGTTGGGGTCAGGTTGTCGATGTTATGTTTGATTGGTGACTCCCAACGAGGTACGAGTGTCGCTGTCGGTCGTGTTCCTGATTGGGAGCCAGTATTTAAACTGTGTTCACCTTGGTATGGGGTGTTCCTTGCGGTGTGTAACCGTGGCCGTTGTGTTTGTTTATATTAGTGATTTAGTTAAAGTCGTTCATTCACCGCTGTGCCTTGGTCTACTCTCCTTTACGACGATCGTGACACATTGCTGTTCCAAAAGTCTGTAGATAGTAATATTTATCAAATAAAAAAGTATTTTTAGCAAGCACTAGTTGTGCAAGCTCATTGATATAATTTGTAGGCACATTGCTTAAGTGGTTGGAGAGGAAGAATTTGAGGGCCTCCATACCTCCATCATTCGGTATATTGGTATATAAAATTATATACCAATATTCAGAAATCTCAGGATATAAAATTAACATGGAAAAATATGTAATAATGGCTATAGGAAAAATTTAATAATAACTCACGATCTACAGCAATCCTTTAAGTGGACCACAAAAAATATAAATACATGTATTCCAATACTCAACAATATGAAAGCAGATCTAATTAAATTGAATTATCGTCCTATAAATCTTACAGGCTGACTAAACCTCTTTAGAATGGCATGATCGCTCCCAAAGTTTTAGTATTTATTTTCGGTTATAGCAATTACCCCACCGAAGACATTCTTTTAAAAAAAGTATACTCGTTCATAACAGACTTTGATAAAATTAATATAATAAAAAGGAAAGTTTTACATCTTCCTAAATCGGAGGGTGGTTTTAACCTTCCAGACATGGAATTGTATCAACTCGCCACCCAAGGCTTTAACCTGCGACATATAGTTAAATGCACTAAAGAGGAACAAATTGAAGATGCGCATGCTCATCACCAGAATATTTTTACGTGTCTATTTTCAAAGGATAAAGCTAAGAACATTAACAACTTCATAGTTAAGAACACTATAACAATATGGAAGAAAATTACACGTATTCTACAAGAACCAATATCACTCCCTAAAAACAACCTTATGGACCAATCCTTGGATAGCTTTTCAGAATTTACTGATAAATTGATCCACATGGAAACCTAAAGGCATAGATACCATAAAATGATGGGGGTGTGAGCATGCGGGTCTGGGCAGAGGAGATGTAGTTTGTAAGTTGTTGTTCGTATGTGTATGTTTGTATTTGGCATAAAAAATCTAATTAAAAATGAAAGATTAACAATATTACTTAAAAAAGAAGACCGATAGAAGTGTTGGCTACACATACAGTATGGGATGAGGCTAATCATTAATGATACAATTACATAATCGCAATATTACTATATTATAATGATACATTGACTCCCAAGTATCGATTTGTAAAAATATAAATCATAATAATAATGTTGTTGCTAGGTAGTGTTATCTAGCGCTAGTCAGCTGTACCTGCACAAAACTCTGGTATTTTTCATCCTAAAGCTTGTTCTCCATCTTCTTTTTAAATAGTGAGCCAACATGTTTTCAGCACTTTTATTTTCATGACTGATAAAAACTCATTTTCTCATGCTCTTGTCTCTGCAGCAGACATATAGTGAGGAATATGTTTGGAACATCAAATCGCAAACAAAATTGCCAAATCAGATCGCAATACGTATAGAATCTTGAGAATCGCAATACATTTCATATCGCCACCTACATTTCGTGATAATATCGTATTGTGAGGTCCTACGCAATTCCCGCCCTACTAATCATAATCTATGGGTTTGTCATGCTTTGATTTTCCATCATTAATAAATGGCTGGCTTGTGTCAGGTCACAGAGTATGTGGTACAAACATTATACAGATAAGAAAAGAGCATAAGTAGAGGGTAAAAGGATACAGTCTTTCCCTTTGAAAAGGGTCTTCCCATTGATCATCTCTCCCATGATACAGCCCACAGACCAGATGTCCACTAGAATGGAGGAACAGATATAACCAATCAATTATTGACAAATAGAAAACAAATTCACACCAAAACAATGCTATGCTGTTTGCTCAATGGAGTGTATTCTCAAAACAACCCTGTGTACAGAATTGAGTGTAGTAGTATTATGGAGACAACTAGACTCCAAGGCCAGACCACTCGTACTAACCGATAACACTGACAACACAGCACTCATTGTGAACATACAACTGTCACTCACAATGTAACAAATCATTGTAGAAGAGCACATACAGAACCTTATATTACACAGAGGCCTTATTCCTCAATAGTGACTGAGGTGTGACTACTTGTAATACCCTCTACTAAGTAACAAAGTACATACTGTTGCATAAAAACATATTGCACGAATGAAATGAAAGTTGACTTGTGTCAGCTCAGTAACAACCTGTCAGCTCTGCAACATTTCAGGCTGTAGGTAAAACATTCTGCCAGCTCTGTAATGTTTCCAGCTGTACGTAACAGGGTGTCAGCTCTGTAACGTTTCAGGCTTAATGTCAAACAGCCTGTCGGCTCTGTAATGTTTCAGGCTGTACGTAACAGCCTGTCAGCACTGTAACGTTTCAGGCTGTACGTAACAGCCTGTCAGCACTGTAACGTTTCAGGCTGTACGTAACAGCCTGTCAGCACTGTAACGTTTCAGGCTGTACGTAAAAGCCTGTCAGCACTGTAACGTTTCAGGCTGTACGTAACAGCCTATCAGCTATGTAACGTTTCAGGCTGTACGTAAAAGCCTGTCAGCACTGTAACGTTTCAGGCTGTACGTAACAGCCTGTCAGCACTGTAACGTTTCAGGCTGTACGTAACAGCCTGTCAGCACTGTAATGTTTCAGGCTGTATGTAACAGCCTGTCAGCACTGTAACGTTTCAGGCTGTACGTAACAGCCTGTCAGCACTGTAACGTTTCAGGCTCTCAATAAGTTGAGCAGATAGGCCTTTGGAATGAATGAGGGTGAGAGTTTGTAACAGCTGTTTGTCTTGCCGGTCTGGGTGTAGTGCATCCAGTTTAGAATGACCTCAGGCGCCCGGTACCAGCGGGTCACAACATAGCCCGTCATCTCTGCCTCAGCATGGCGAGCCAGACCAAAGTCCAGGATCTGCATCAATAGCAAAGCATAATCTTACACAAAATCCTGGGATTTTCCCCACATCTAATGAATTTCTATTCATGTTACAAACCTTTAATTCACAGTCTTGATTGACAGCCAAGTTACCAGGCTTTAGGTCCTGCAAAATAAACAGTGTGGCCCTTGGCTGAGATTATGTTGCTAGCTTTATGATCATATTCAGCACATTAACTTAATCAATAATGTAATCCCACAAAAAATGGTAAGGAGTTTAGATGAAGGCAAAACAATATTGATGAGGCCAGACCTACTGTATTTTTTTTTATGACATTGTTTGCGATCAGGAAAGCTGCAGGTTTGCTTTACACATTTTATTTTAGTTAATGGCCAAGCTAACCCCTTCAATTCACCACACATTACAAATTAACACTGATATTAGTACACACATGGGTGTTGTTCCACAGAGCAACAGCATAGGGCAGGGTGTGTCTTAACAATTCTAGACACGCAGGAAGACAGAGGCATATCTGAGGGAAGCCTACTCATCCTACCTGTTAGGGCAGGGTTAGCCATAACTGATTTAAATAACATTCTCATGCGCCACAATAGAAATAGTGCTGGTTTCAGATGCTGCGGCTGGGTGTTTCCAATGGAGCAGCAAACTTACCCTGTGGATGATGCCAGCTTTGTGAATGTACTGTGAAGGCCAGAAAAACAAAGACATAATTATTGTTAATTGCCGTGATTAAGCATAGCAATGATGATTAACTAAGAGTATCATTTAATTAACATTGAAATAACATCTGACATAAACAGAATCACATTACAAAATACTATATATTTGGTCTGATTGCACATTGTGCACAAACAATCTCACCCTTAGTCCACATAGCATCTGATAGACAAGGAACTGCACACGGTCTTCAGAGAGAAGCCCTTTGACTTTGGAGAGGTCTGTGAACATGTAAGGCATCACCAGGTAGCTGTGGACAGAGACATCATCACTCCATCAATCTAACGCCCCATCACCTATAATGTGAATAATGACACCTGGGTCACGTTCAGAGGGGTCCAATGTTAGAGAATGTCCAGACAGAAATATAGTATTAGAACAGATGCTTCTCTGTGGTGTATAAGAGGGAATCATGTCAGCTCTATACAATACATTTCTAACTGCAACTTTCAGTATGATGCTTTACGTTGGGGTAAATTCATAGGCCAAGGAGTCAATTTCAGTGCGTGGGCAATATGGATGTCTGTGAAGTCCTTAGGGTTCTTCTAATTGGGAAGATAGTGCCTCACAGGGTTATCTGACCTATAGTGTGTTTGTGTTGGCTCTGTCCTGAATAGTGAGAAAGATGTAGGTTACCCTATAGTGCCTGTTCATATTTGTCCTAGGAATTCCCATCCTATTGTTGTGTTATCTAAATAGGAATCAGTACTCGCTCCAAGGGGTTGAGTTGATGCTATAGGCCATTAAATCTATATGACCCCCGCCAAATCACCAGACATCCTCCGCCTCTGAATGCCATAGGCATGATTCTGTGTCTGATATCACTGCGGTAAATACTCACAAATCTGTGAAGTCATTGAGCCCAGCGGCAGGAGTAAACACATCCAGAAGCCCTATCACCTGGAGGGAGTTTGCACAGGAGAAAATAAGAAGTTGAGGAATAGGTCCCACGAGAGGGAGGGAGAGAAATGGCTCCCATCATGCCAGCTATACAGTAGCTATTAGACTGAAATTGTGAAACTATGTCAGTTTGCTGCAGTGCAGGCTAAGACATCAAATCTGGGAAGAGCAACACATCGTGGGTGGGATGATGTGTGAGTCAAAGAGTCTGGAGGGATCAAAGACAACGATAGTGCCAGGATGTGTACATACTCACATTTTCATGTTTCATTTGCTTGAGCAGTCGAAGCTCCCGATAGGCCCTCTTGGCAAACATCTCGGACTGGAAGGGCCGGTGAAGCTTCTTGATGGCCACTTTCTCATTGGTCTTTACATTTATGACTGAGCTGAGGCAGAACAAATATTGTTATTGCATAACAAAACATCTCAAGAAAAATGTGGCTTCATCCCTTATGAGAAGGTTAGTTAAAAGATAATAAGGTTATAAGGTTACTGAATCAAAGTGACAGATTGAGATGAATACCACATGCTTTCATTTGTTCAGACAAAGATTCTATATTGTACCTCAACATGTTCACTTAAGCTCTGCAACAAGTCATCGTAGGAAAAGCCAGTCATGCTACTATACACCATATCCTGAACACTGTGTGCACAGCCCCCAAGGGAGCCTAACTGGCTATATGAAAATTAGCTAACACATTTAAAGAGTCATTTTTATTTTTATTTTTTACAATAAATCTGGCCTTCATTTTGACAGTTTGTTGCAAAAGTGATCTACCATTGAAATCGTGATGCCTCTACGTTATCTCAAGGGAGGGGTTCGGTATGAAATACACTCCTAAATGTGCTTGATGGTACCATCTCAAGGCCAACTATAAAAGCAGGTGACAGAGCACCTTATTTGGCAATGGTCTTGGTAACTGGAGTGTGCCAATATATGTTGCATGATGCTTCTTTGACTAGACTACTGACGTTACACAAAATTCAAAAGGCAGTAAGGCACATTTCTGCATATGATAAAATTTTAACTTTTTCCTTACCGTTACATACACATCTATGTGCTTTTACGAAGAAAAAAAACAAGTAGGCTATGATAATTATACGTTTATATTCGTAGCTACATCAATCGTAACAAGAAATACTGTAGATGACACTTTTTCCCCAACTGCTTTGACTTGGTGGTTCCAAACTTCTTCCATTTAAGAATGATGGAGGCCACTGTGTTCTTGAGGATCTGCAGTCCGCTAAAACAGTTGGCTCATAGCTCAATGGTTGCGAATTCTAGTCCCACATCTCTCATTTAACTGGACCCACTTCACAGTCACCTAGTAAATAGAGAAGCTATTTCAAGTATTTTGCTCTATGCTCTATGCGATCCGATCTGAAGCGCACTTTAACGGTAGAACAGACGGTTCACCTTTTCCATTGACGTTTGTAGACTACGTCTGAATACTGTAATGTCAAATATCTTAATTAGACAATATTTCATTTTTCAAACATAATACATATCCAGTGCATTCGGAAAGTATTCAGACCTTGACTTTTTCCACATTTTGTTACGTTACAGTCTTATTCTAAAATTGATTAAATTGTTTTTCCCCTCATCAATCTACACACAATACCCCATAATGACAAAGCAAAAACAGGTTTTTAGAAATGTTTGCAAATTTAAAAAACAAAAACAAATGAATTATCACATTTACATAAGTATTCAGACCCTTTACGCAGTACTTTATTGAAGCACCTTTGGCAGCGATTACAGCCTCAAGTCTTCTTGGGTATAACACTACAAGCTTGGCACACCTGTATTTGGGGAGTTTCTCCCATTATTCTCTGCAGATCCTCTCAAGCTATGTCAGGTTGGATGGGAAGCGTTGCTGCACAGCTATTTTCAGGTCTCTCCAGAGATGTTCGATCGGGTTCAAGTCCGGGCTCTGGCTGGGCCACTCAAGGACATTCAGAGACCCGAAGCCACTCCTGTGTTGTCTTGGCTATGTGCTTAGGGTCGTTGTCATGTTGGAAGGTGAACCTTCACCCCAGTCTGAGGTCCTGAGCGCTCTGGAGAAGGTTTTCATCAATGATCTCTCTGTACTTTGCTCCGTTCATTTTTCCCTCGATCCTGACTAGTCTCCCAGTCCATGCCACTAAAAAACATCCCCCAGCATGATGCTGCCACCACCATGCTTCACTGTAGGGATGGTGCCAGGTTTCCTCCAGACGTGATACTTGGCATTCAGGCCAAATAATTGAATCTTGTTTCTCATGGTCTGAGAGTCCTTTAGGTGGCTTTTGGCAAACTCCAAACGGGCTGTCGCGCCTTTTACTGAGGAGTGGCTTCCATCTGGCCACTCTACCATAAAGGCCTGATTGGTGGAGTGCTGCAGAGATGGTTGTCCTTCTGGAAGGTTCTCCCATCTCCACAGAGGAACTCTGGAGCTCTGTCAGAGTTACCATCGGGTTCTTGGTCACCTCCCTGACCAAGGCCCTTCTCCCCAGATTGCTCAGTTTAGCCGGGCGGCCAGCTCTAGGAAGAGTCTTGGTGGTTCCAAACTTCTTCCATTTAAGAATGATGGAGGCCACTGTGTTCTTGAGGATCTTCAATGCTGCAGAATTTTTTTGGTAACCCCAGATCTGTGCCGCGACACAATACTGTCTCGAGCTCTACGGACAATTACCTGTTTTCGCTGTGAATAAGGCTATAATGTAACAAAATGTGCAAAAAGGGAAGGGGTCTGAATACTTTCCTTATAAATTCCAACAAATTACCATGCACATCTCTCATTGAATTAGGCCTATTAGATAGGCTATTATAAATGTAAAGTTTTTGCTCTCCTTGCTCTCTGAAAGGGAGCACGGTTAATAACATACAGTCGAATTTAACAGGTGAACAGACAGTTGATCTTTTGCGTTGAAGTGTGTAGGCTACCACTGTAAGTATGGCCTACTGTAGTAAAAAATATATATAATCGGAGCAGACAATGTTTCAGAATTTGTGGACAGTGCAGCATATTTAGGTTCGGGAAAAAGTAAATGCAAAACACAACAATTTGCAATCGTTTTTGTCTTTCAGAAACAGCCAGATGGCTACAGCAAATGTCACTGAAAAGAAAACATTCTGCCAACACCTCCAAAGACATTTGATCAAGTTCGCCATTGCTACTTCCTTTATATACTGTCTTGGCCTACTTCCAATACTTCCAGTATACAGTATACAGCAAATAAGCACATTATTGTCACCATAAAAGGTAAATGATGGCGTTTTTCAGGCAGAGTTATAATGCTTGTTCACGCAGTTTTACAACAAGTCTGATTTCTAACAGGAAACATGCGTGCGTCAAGTTCATACATCTCAATATTTTTGTGCGTGAGCAGTCTTTTCAGAAATGGCCATGCAGATATTTAGTGTAAAATTTAAGCAACGGTTATAAATGAGGCCCCAGAGCTGTATTTGGTCGAGCTGCAAATCATTTTATTATCAGTGTGCCAGTGCACTTATGTAAGTATGCTTTAGTGAGAAAGTGTTGGGATCAGGTACAACTACATTTACCGACCCCCAAAATGAATATTTATGAGCAATTCCCCGCACCCACAACTTCTCACCTGAATGCATTTTTTGACATTTTTAAGGGGTTGGGCAAAGGCTTAAATTGGGTTTGAGAGTTACTCTTTAAGTAGGTTGCCTATATATTGGTATTGGAGCATCATATAAATGCAGTGACCGAGATTGATTCATTCTTTGTAAGATTGTAACAATCTCGAAAAGCAATTGATGCATTATTGACAGAGCTGAAGAAACCCGATATATCTCTCTGTATGGCCTTCTTGAAAACAACAACCATCAGTTTGGGATAGCGATATTGTCACTGACTCACCATACGGAACCGTACGCCCCTGTCCCGATCTGCTTCAATCGCGTGTACTTCTCCGGGATTTCCCATACCGTGCTGTTGATCTCCTCTCGGATGAAGGGTGGCTGAGACTCCATGTTGCTGCGATATGGTGAAAATTCGCTCCACAAAGACAACGAGCTAAAGTATTATACTTTCCCACCTCCCACGCGCTCTTTCTGCAACTTCTTGTTAAAAAGGTCACGGTACCAATCCCAGCCGCAATAATAGCCTACAGTCAATTGCTCACTTGGATAGTGAGGTTCGCCAGGAGAATGAGTGTTGCAAGAGCAGTAGGATACAGTTGTGAGTTGAATGGCGTAACCTACAATTGTACTATTTACGATAGCCTTATACTAACAGTACCCTATCCTCCATAAAGACATCTGACGACCCAATAATGATATAGTCTAATCGTCATCGCCCTTCCAATAATCGTGCTGTTTGACTGCTCGGAAAGCTTGCTAAAAAACGTGCTAAAACGTGTCAGCTGCTATGACTCCGATTTCCGTTCACACCCACACACATAGACAGTAGGTGGGACTGTACTTGTTATGAATAATAACCTCCATATGATTAAATTCATATTAAAATAGTTCAACAAAAATAACATCCTATGAAAATGAAGTCTAATTACTGATTAATAAATTAGGCCTATTTACTTGATTTGATTTAAAGTATTTGTATTAATGGCTAATGTTACTGTATTTATGGGCAAATTTCAACAATCTCACCTTTCAGTGAATATGAGACCTCTGATTAGTCAACATGACTTCATCAGACAGACAAGAACACCTAGGCTCACACTTCCTGGTGGATCAAAAAAGGTTGAGCTAAATAATATTGTTTACACCAATCAATTTCTTGCAGATCTACCAGGGGCACCAAAATGTGTGGCAATACAGGTAGATTTTGGATTGTTTCTAGTATCCAACCTCTACCTACCCTGGGCCTGAATTCACAAAGACAAGACTAGGAGTGCTGATGGGCCTATATGATACCTTTAGTTCATAATTAATAAGATTACATGGACGGGGGGACCTGATCCTAGATCAGCACTCCTACTCCTAGACAGTTATGAATACCTACCCTGTTCTCTACAGTTGGCCGGAGGACAATTCCAAGCTGCCAAGCAACAAGTTATTAATTGTGATTAGTCATAGTTGTGGCTGGAAGATAATCAGTCACACCACATGAGACTTGTCAGCAATGGTTTAGTGCAGTCGATGTAACTGATTATATATGAAATAACATATAGATACATAAATCTAGTTTGTGGTACTACATGACATGTTATGAAGAACATAGTATACAGCCAGCACTTGTTCTGAGTGGATGCCAAAAGCATTCAGTCTACTCTTTTGAAATTGTTCAGATATTGACCACAAGATGGAGGCAAAGCACAGAATAAAAGAATTGGTGGTATGGGATACCTTTTTGGTCTATGGTAAATAAAAACAGTATTGTCAATTCTCTCTCTCTCTATCTATCTCTCTCATGTACAAACACACACACACACACACACACACACAGACTTGTCAGGACACACACATACTTCACATGCGCGGTTAAAAATGATGTTTCTATAGATCATCTAATTTTACTCTAAATACATATCTTGTTTTGTGTATGTGAGGGAGAGAGAGAGAGAGAAAGAGGGAGGGAGAGAGGAAAGACAAAGCTAGAGAGGAGACAGAGAGGGAGAAAGATAGATAGATAATTTCATCTGATGACCCATGAAAGAGTAGTTTTCAGTAACATGCCCTCTTTTAGAAGGTTGAACTTAGACGTCCATTTTCTGATGTACAGTCGGAAGTTTACATACACTTAGATTGGAGTCATTAAAACTCGTTTTTCAACCACACCACAAATTTCTTGTTAACAAACTATAGTGTTGTCAAGTTGGTTAGGACATATACTTTGTGCATGACACAAGTAATTTTGCCAACAATTGTTTACAGACAGATTATTTCACTTATAATTCTTATACTTATAAACTCAGTTTTTCACAATTCCTGACATTTAATTCTAGTAAAAATTCCCTGTCAGTTAGGATCACCACTTTATTTTAAGAATGTGAAATGTCAGAATCATAGTAGAGAGAATGATTTATTTAAGCTTTTATTTCTTTCATCACAATTCCAGTGGGTCAGAAGTTTACACACACTCAATTAGTATTTGGTAGCATTGCCTTTAAATTGTTTAACTTGTGTCAAATGTTTCGGGTAGCCTTCCACAAGCTTCCCACAATAAGTTGGGTGAATCTTGGCCCATTCCTCCTGACAGAGCTGGTGTAACTGAGTCAGGTTTGTAGGCCTCCTTGCTCGCACACGCTTTTTCAGTTCTGCCCACACATTTTCTACAGGATTGAGGTCAGGGCTTTGTGATGGCCACTCCAATACCTTGACTTTGTTGTCCTTAAGCCATTTTGCCACAACTTTGGAAGTATGCTTGGGGTCATTGTCTATTTGAAAGACCCATTTGCGACCAACCTTTAACTTCCTGACTGATGTCTTGAGATGTTGCTTCAATATATCCACATCATTTTCCTTCCTCATGATGCCATCTATTTTGTGAAGTGCACCAGTCCCTCCTGCAGCAAAGCACACCCACAGCATGATGCTGCCACCTCCATGCCTCACGTTTGGGATGGTGTTCTTCGGGTTGCAAGCCTACCCCTTTTTCCTCCAAACATAACAATGGTCATTATGGCCAAACAGTTATATTTGTGTTTAATCAGACCAAAGGACATTTCTCCAAAAAGTACGATCTTTGTCCCCATGTGCAGTTGCAAACCGTAGTCTGGCTTTTTTATGGCGGTTTTGGAGCAGTGGCTTCTTCATTGCTGAGCAGCCTTTCAGGTTATGTCGATATAGGACTCGTTTTACTGTGGATATAGATACTTTTGTACCTGTTTCCTCCAGCATTTTCACAAGGTCCTTTGCTGTTGTTCTGGGATTGATTTGCACTTTTCTCCCCCAAAGTACATTAATCTCTAGGAGACAGAACGGGTCTCCTTCCTGAGCGGTATGACGGCTGCATGGTCCCATGGTGTTTATACTTGCGTACTATTGTTTGTACAGATGAACGTGGTACCTTCAGGCGTTTGGAAATAGCTCCCAAGGATGAACCAGACTTGTGGAAATCTACAAAATTTTTTCTGAGGTCTTGGCTGATTTCTTTTGATTTTCGCATGATGTCAAACAAAGAGGCACTGAGTTTGAAGGTAGGCCTTGAAATACATCCACAGGTACACCTCCAATTGACTCAAATGATGTCAATTATCCTATCAGAAGCTTCTAAAGCCATGACATCATTTTCAGGAATTTTCTAAGCTGTTTAAAGGCACAGTCAACTTAGTGACCCACTGAAATTGTGATACAGTGAATAATAAGTGAAATGTCTGTAAACAATTGTTGGAAAAATTACTTGTGTCATGCACAAAGTAGATGTCCAAACCGACTTGCCTAAACAATAGTTTGTTAACAAGACATTTGTGGAGTGGTTGAAAAACAAGTTTTAATGACTCCAACCTAAATGTAACTTCCAACTTCAACTGTAGCCTTGTATTACCACTTACAGTGCCCATTTGCTCCCCCTCTCATTTCTGGCACAGGAAGACTGGAAAGTCACTCTGCATGTGGCCCATGAATAAGTCAGCAAGGTGGAGAATTCATGGGCATTGTTAAGTTTGGTTTTAGAGTAGAGCACTGTAAGCACCCACATAAAAAAATACTACAGTTTACTATAGTCCCCTGTAGCTCAGTTGGTAGCGCATGGCGCTTGCAACGCCAGGGTTGTGGGTTCGTTTCCCACGAGGGGCCAGTATGAAAATGTATGCACTCACGAACTGTAAGTCGCGCTGGATGAGAGCGTCTGCTAAATGACTAAAATGTAAATGTACACTATAGAATTCTGTAGTAAACTGTAGTATACTATGCCACACACTGTAGTATCCCTCGATAATGTGTAGTACTTACTGTAGAATACTATAGTAAATACTACAGTATTATCCATAAAACAAAACTGTAGTAAATACTACAGAAACGTCTGCAAAAACACTACAGTCTGCAAAAACACTAGATATTTTAAACTATAGTAAATACTAGAATATTACATTTGCATATATCCTGCCCATTCCCTCCTGCAAATCCCAATTTGTGCCACCCGTAAGTGAGAAGCCAAGTATAGAACATATATTATTTTCCCTACAGACGCATACTTGGGTTCAAGTCCGGGCTCTTGCTGGGCCACATTCAGAGACTTGTTCCGAAACCAGTCATGTGTTGTCTTGGATGTGTGCTTAGGGTTGTTGTCCTGTTGGAAGATGAACCTTCGCCACAGTCTGAGGTCCTGAGCACTCTGGAGCAGGTTTTCATCAAGGATCTCTCTGTACTTTACTCCATTCATCTTTCCCTCGATCCTGACTAGTCTCCCTGCCACTGAAAAACATCCCCACAGCATGATGCTGCCACCACCATGCTTCACCGTAGGGATGGTGCCAGGTTTCCTCCAGACGTCACGCTTGGCATTTAGGCCAAAGAGTTCAATCTTGGTTTGATCAGACCAGAGAATCTTGTTTCTCATGGTCTGAGAGTCCTTTAGGTGGCTTTTGGCAAACTCCAAGTGGGCTGTTATGTGCCTTTTACTGAGGAGCGGCTTCCGTTTTTAATTGGTGGAGTGCTGCAGAGATGGTTGTCCTTCTGGACGGTTCTCCCATCTCCACAGAGGAACTCTTGAGCTCTGTCAGAGTGACCATCAGGTTCTTGGTCACCTCCCTGACCAAGGCCCTTCTCCCCCATTGCTCAGTTTGGCTGGGCGGCCAGATCTAGGAAGAGTCTTGGTGATTCCAAACTTCTTCCATTTAAGATTGACGGAGGCAACTGTGTTCTTGGGGACCTTCAATGCTGCAGAAATGTTTTGGTACCCTTCCCTAGATCTGTGCCTCGATACAATACTGTCTCAACCTCATGGCGTGGTTTTTGCTCTGAGATGCACTATCAACTGTGGGACTTTACATAGACAGGTGTGTACCTTTCCAAATCATGTCCATCAATTGAATATACCACAGGTGGACTCCAATCAAGTTGTAGAAACC